ATAATCCAAACTGCATATTCTGCCGGCAGATTTCTGCATTTTAAGTTAATTTAGGCGTCAATAAACTGTTTAAGAGGAGTGATCATCAGCGCTGTGTCTCTCTCCCTGCGTCAGATGATTAAATGCGCCTGACGCGCTGCTTCAGCTGCTCAGACGCGCTGCGCCAACCATTGACTTTGCATGTAAACTCGCTGCTTCTGTCGCACCAGCTGCGGTGTGAACGCAGCATTAGTCATTCGTTGCGTTCGCCTGTCTGCTAAGCTCAAAACAACCATGCCTGGCTTGACGGAGAAACCAGGAGAACAGCTGTGCATATTTACGACAGTGCACTTTTACTTTCACCCTCTGGGGGGAGCCTCGCTGGAAAATCAACACCGGTTGCATAGTGTACCTTTAACGCAAATATTTCACCCCGAGAACGCTGGGAGCCTTTTCCCCCCTGGATCCCCGCTCTTTTCAATTCAGTTTATTTCTATAGCGCCAATTCACAACATGTCATCTCAAGGCACTTTACAGTTCACCAGATAATCCAGAGTTTTCTATCTAAGGAAAACCAGCTGATTGCATCGAGTGCAATCCCTCACACTAAGCATGCTTGTAGCGTAGGGATGGAACGGTTTATGAAAACCGTCCGAACCGTTCGGTTTGACTGTCTCGGTTTGGTTCGCGTGTGTTGCGCTTGGTCCACTCCGCTCTGAGTTCCTTGGAGATCGTAGAGGGAATGCGCCAGATGATTAAATTCAAAGCAGCAAAACATGCGGAAATGATCCAGGGTTTCCGCGGATCATTAAAAATAATTACAATTCATTAATTTTTTTTATTCTTTCATTAATTTCATTAACTTTTATGGGATTTCGGTGTAACAATCAACATATACCGAACCGAACCGAAAACCGTGACCACGAAACAGTGAACCGAACCGAACCGTGGATTTTTTAAACCTTCCACCCCTATTGTAGCGACAGTGGAGAGGAAAAACTTCCTTTTAACAGGAAGAAACCTCTTTTTTGCACTCGTGTCCCTCCAAATGTTCTTTTTTCCACTTCCTCACTGCCTTGGCTGTATGTAGACCCACAGCTAGTTCATGATTGTCCCTCTTGCGTTATGGCGTGGAATAAGGTAGCGCAGACCACGCTTCAATATTAGGCATAAATCAAAAATATCTGCGACAAGCTAACTGCGACACTCTGCTGCGGGAGGATAACCAGCCCTTAAGTGTCATCAGTAGCTATGCTAATATCAGAGGTGTCAAGTAACAAAGTACAAATACTTTGTTACTGTACTTAAGTACACATTTTAGGTATTTATACTTCACTGTATTACTTAATTTTATTCCTACTTCTTACTTCTACTTATTACATTTTCACACAAGTATCTGTACTTTCTATTCCTTAATTTAATTTCCCTCTGGGATTATTAAAGTATGCCTGATTCTGATTTTAAATCAAACGTTACTCGTTAATTTTGGCTTCCATTTGATGTTTATAAATATTTATTTCCCGTCATGTGCTCCATCCAATGCAGATCATTGGCTCCACCCAC